AGTCCGATTTGGGCCAAAAGTCTGATTTGGGCCGAAAATCCTGTTTCGGCCGAAATTCCAATTGATTTCTTCAAATAACAAACTCGGTGGAACTTCAAAACCTCACTTCACGAAATCTCTCACGTTAACTCTGGTTTCTTGTCATTTTGAAGAAATAAAATTGATTTCCCCAATTCATTAAGTTTTGGAGATAATTTAAACTGAATTTAAAACAAAGATTCTTAAATTCACAAAGTTTTTGTTTTACTTTAAACTCGATATAAATTAAAAACTTTTAAAATCACTATTTTTTTTTTCAGTTATTTTAAAAATTTATTTTTGAACTGTTCTCTCTTCCTCCAAACACAAATCCCAATGATGGATGTCCAAGCACCAGATGAAGGACTGGTTTTCCATCCCGGGATCATCAAAAAGGTATATGTCTATGTAGAGCGATTGTTAGAGGAATTTCAGACACGCAGACAGAATTTACCGTTTCTTTATTTAGAAAACGTAGCGTACCCCGCCTGACCTGCGGAAGATTTGATTACATTCTGGATTGTCTTCCAAGTGGGTACCTTAGTATCGATCGAAGTTGTTTAGGATTCTGGATTCTTAACATGTTATTGATGTATGGTTCTATATTTCTGTGCGGGTATTTTAATGTCTCTTGGAGATGGTTATTCATTTCCTCAGTACTACATTACAATTGTCCTTCGCTTCTTTTGTCTCCGTGCAAATTCTTAGAGAATTTACATGAGTTGGAGAAGAATTGTACTCGCTTCCGAACTCTTTCTAAGATTTCTGAGCCATTCAATTCTTTGCATTGCTTTAATTTTTCCTCTTTTTATATCTCGCAGTTCGGATGTTTTTGTTCTTCATCTTCGGAATTAGCTATCATGTACCCCTTTCGCGGTTATCTAAGTTCATTTCGAATCCGCATTGGGATAGTGACAGATGCCTTCCAAAAGCTGAGCAATGTAAAGGAAAAAATAATGCTAGAAACAAAGAAAAGATTATTGAACTTTTATGCAATATCGGTAATCAGTGAATGTTGGACAATCGCGTCACATATGAAGAAGAAACTTGAAGCAACAGAAATGTTGCTCTGCAGAAGGATGCTGACAATATATGAACATATGAGCAACGACGAATAAATTTAGGAGAGGTAAGTTTTAGTTTCCCCCGCCCCATCTCTCTCCCCCACCACTTTTTCTTTCCTTTCCTCTCCCTCCCTCTTCTTCTGATCTTTAACATTAAATCGTCTATGGGGTGTGTATGTCACCACGAAATGTATCTTTAATGTATTAGACATCCGACAACATTCATATTTCCCCCTTCCACTCACCTCTCCTAAATTTATCTTTATTCCATACTTTGATATGGAAAAATAATTTTACTTACTATGAGTAATTATCCTTCTGTTATAAAGTAATATAGTCTATTAAAACTAACAATGAAAATATTTTAAAATTTTAAAGTTGTAATTTTATAATTGTAATTAAAATTGTAGTTAAGTAAAATGAATTCTAACCTGTTCTTTATTACATATGAAACTTTATTATTAGGTTACATATATTTGAAATAAATAAATTAATTAATAAATAAAGTTTACTAAATCTGAGAAATGAAGCTCGTTTTGTAGTAAGTGCCATTAATATTACTTAAATAATATTTATTAAAAAAAAAAAAAAAAAAAAAAATTGTAATTTACATATACTTTGATATGGAAAAATAATTTTACTTACTAAAATTATCCTTCTGTTATAAAGTAATATAGTCTATTAAAAACTAAACAATGAAAATATTTTAAAATTTTAAAGTTGTAAAAATTGTAATTAAAATTGTAGTTAAATTGAATGAATTCTAACCTAAATTTCTTTTTAAATAATACTACACGCACTAAAAAAAGAATCCAAATAAAAGAAAAAAACACCTATAGTAAAATAAAATTAATATGAAATGCCATAAGATGTAAGCTTTTTGAATGACCCATGTCCTTAGTACTTACATGAGAAACATTATAATACTAGGTTTATATATAAAATAAAAAGTTTACTAAATCAGTGAAATTAAGTAACCATTTTTGCCGTCATAGTCATAAATTTAAAAAAAAAAAAAAAATGTAGCCTCATATACATACTTAAACTTGATGTTAAAATAATCCTACATAATATAATGGATTCTAATACATTTAACTGTTCTTAAAAAGAATATAGTAAAATAAAAATTAAAAAGGAGAATATTTCAAATCGTAGTTAAATAAAAAGTATTAGAAAAAAAAAAAAAAAAAAAAAAACCGAAAATCTTTAATTTTAAAAAATGACGTTGAAATTTTTTTACCGTTAACAATTTTAAAAAAAAATTCAGACGACATCCATTCAACTGATGTCAGGTTTCATTGTAAAATACATCCCTACCCCTTACCAAATTGTAGCTAATAACTGATACAATGATACTGACATAAGTGAAAATCTAGACATCCCTTGTTCAATTTAAGTAGAATATTCTGTAACCATGGAAACGTGATTTTAGCTGTGTCTTTAAAACCCGGTAATTTTTAAAAGTTACTCCAAAATTCGCTTGAAGATGAAATGGAACTAATGCTTTTAATTTAATTGCAAAATTAAATTCGGGGTTTTTAGCTTCTATTTTTGAAACATGGTTGGAACTGTGTAGCGAAAAAAACCATATTTTAAATTAATTAATTTATAATATATATAATATATATATATATCATATCTAATATATATATATATCATACGTTCTTGATGTATTTTCAGGCTTTTTTGTTTTTACTGGTCTTCCTGCAGGTGCATTTTATAACTTCCGGTGGCCTAGCATTAATCGTTATCCATAAAAGGTCAGTCCTACTGGGGAACTCATCGTTCCTTCTTTTGATTCGCTGAGGATATTGAACCGATTGTGTGTTCATAGCCATTGTAGGGTACCCCCCCCCTCTTTTATCCAGTTTGGGTACGCTTTCCTTTCTTGTTCAAATTGACGTCTTTCTTTGCTGTCACTGTCTTTCCAATTGTCAACAGTTCTTTTCTTTGGTTATCACGTGGTCTTTCCCAGCGATCAATGGTCTACTCCACAGTTTGCGCATATTCCAAACACTCTGTACCGGGAAGCTTCGTCGAGGATTAACATTCATGATGTCATTTGCGGCGGGGGTGGGGCCAGACCTTTAAAGATACCAATCTTATTTTCAAGTGACTAAAACCAGGATATATATATATATATATATATATATATATATATATATATATATATATATATATATATATTATGTGTGTGTTTGTGTATGTGTGCGTCTTTGTGTGTCTGTGCGTGTGAGTATTCAGGTAAAATGAGAACAAATGGAGTATAATTCCACTGCACGTAACATTTAATTTAAAAGAAGGCTTAATCTGACTTATTATAAAACCCAGGTTGTGTGTGTGTGTGTCTGTACGTTTATATATTGGATCGGATTTCCTACATTTTTCAACCGATTTCAACAAAACTTCACAGGACTACGTAAAATTACCTTGCGGTGGTTCTGACAGCGCCAAAAATTGGAAAAATGCAATTGCTTTTGCATGAAATCAATTTGAAAACACGATTAAGAGGCATTAATGAAAGGGGGACAACTCATATCGAGTTATACTTATTAATATCGAGTTATCGAGTTATACTTATTATAAAACCCAGGTTGTGTGTGTGTGTGTGTGTGTGTGTGTGTGTGTGTGTGTGTGTGTGTGTGTGTGTGTGTGTGTGTGTGTGTGTGTGTGTTCGTTTATATATGGGATCGGATTTCCTACATTTTTCAACCGATTTCAACAAAACTTTACCTTTTTTTGGCAGGTAGTGTTTCTTATTGTCTTGCACACTTTTTTCTTTATTTTTACATTCAGAATGCTTTAAAAATTCCATTTACAAGACAATTGTTTATAATAAAATTCTATTCAATCGGTAGAGACTCATAACGATTGAAAACAATGTTTTTGTTTGAGTTTGGGTTTGACCAATTCGTAAAAAAAAAAAGACATGCGTGTCCGTCAACCTTAAACAATAATCTTTGTCAATTTTATTTTTCAGTCTTTATGATGGTCGATACTTGATCTATCTCTTACTGTTACATCCCCGGGCAACGCCGGGCTCTACTGCTAGTACAGAATAAAGCTACATATTATTTATTTTAGGATATTAAGACAAGAATATGTTAAAAATCGCTACACGATTACAATTATGTTTCAACACCACAAATATGTCATGGCCTATATTTTTAAAAAAATCCAGGTTTGAATTTAGCGTAGGTCACATTCGATTAATTAAGCACAGCAAAGCCCACAAGCCTATATTTTTTTTAAAAGTATTCTGCTTTTGAAATTAAAATAATCTTTCGCTTGCCAGTGCTTTGACGTCACCCGAGTAGATACATTTGTGGTACTGAAACATGATTGTAATCGTGTAGCGATTTTTAACATGTTCTTGTCTTCATATCCTAAAAAATAATATATATATATATATATATATATATATATATATATATATATATATATATATATATATATATATATATGAATGAATGTATGTATGTAATAATCCGTTGAATTCCACGTGAATCCTAATAATATAAAATATTAAAACTGATCCTTAAAAAAAGAGCTGAATTTATTTCTTATAACACAGCATATATGTTACCTAATAGAGAAATCCAAAATTACCTCATAAGAATAACTATTTCAATAAGCACGTTACTATGTTGGCATTTTCGATTCAGATAGTGTGTAGATATGAAATCAGAGACTTACAAATTTAACATTTAAAAAAGAAGAGAAAAAGAAAAAAAGAAAAAGAAAGAAAGAAAGAAAGAAAGAAAGAAAGAAAGAAAGCAGCAGACCGCCGTTGAAAATATAGATATTAAATTAACCGAAACGCCAGTATGATGGTGGGGGGGGGATGGAAAATGTCTGGCAAATGTCCACAATAATAATATTACATTGACAGACACGCTAATATTATTACATGTAAATCTAGTAAATGGAAGATATGCTTTTCCTCAGCAGATGATTATGAATAGAATGAGATAGATAAATAGAAAGAGATATGAATATTGATAGAAACAGACACGCACACAGACAGACAAATAAGAATGGAAATAGATAGATAGATAGATAGATAGATAGATAGATAGATAGATAGATAGATAGATAGATAGATATGAACAGACTGAAATAGATAGATAGATATGAACAGACTGAAATAGATAGATAGATAGATAGATAGATAGATAGATAGATAGATAGATAGATAGATAGATAGATAATTAAAAGAACGGAGATAGATAGATAGATAGATAGATAGATAGATAGATAGATAGATAGATAAAAGAACGGAAATAGATAGATAGATAGATAGATAGATAGATAGATAGATAGATAATCAACAGACTGCGATAGATAGATAGATAGATAGATAGATAGATAGATAATCATCAGACTGCGATAGATAGATAGATAGATAGATAGATAGATAGATAGATAGATATTGATTATACTTATGTCTAGTTCGATTCTGTGTATTGGTTGACCTCAATTTTCGCCCACCTAATTAGACGAACACAACTGCAGATTTCACTACGTATGAATCACAATTCCGGAAATACAATTTGCTGCTGACGTATCATGTCAGATGTTTTATTTATTGTCACAATAAGTTTAAGTTAAAAAGCCAAATATTTTAAAATAGTCTCTATTTCTCTGCAATTATTTAATCAAAACATCCAAAAAAACCATTAACGTCTTTTGAACAATGAAAGATAAAAGCAATTGTTTGAGAAATCATTTCCAATGAAATGAATATACACAGCAACATTTCAACAAATATATTTCATTCTATAAATAAATCACTTAATACAACATAATTTTATACCCAAAGTATAGCCATTGGTTTTCATCTGATCATATATATATATATATATATATATATATATATATATATATATATATATATATATATATATATAAAGTTTATAAAACTAGGTAATCCGTCTGGGTAGATCCAATGAGGATGATATCCGGAGAGTTCAATGTAGATAGATAGATAGATAGATAGATAGATAGATAGATAGATAGATTCAGAGCAAATATGTTTGAATAAAAACAGACCACTTTTTTTCATGTGATAAATTATTTCACCACAGCCCTTTTAAAGGGATCTGGATCATTTCATTTTCATTTTAAAGGTTGGAAGTAAAGAAAAATGATGATCCAGATCCCTTTAAAAGGGCTGTGGTGAAATAATTTATCACATGAAGCTTAAATAAAGTGGTCTGTTTTTATTCAAACTAAAATATATATATATATATATATATATATATATATATATATATATATATATATATTACAATGAATCATTCATACAAAAAGTAAATTAGTAAAGTTAATAATATAGAATGGCGAAATCACTCCGCTAACTAAATTTTAAAAATGCATTAACCCACTAATCACTCCATGAACGTTGTGATACATTTTTTTTGTTTTTGTTTTCGGTTTTTTTTTTTTAATTATAAACCGTATTATATCTTCCTTAAATATACAAGTACTTTCGACGGGTCTTCTGGTCATCATCATGCATGGAAATTATTTTCTTTTTGGTACAATTAAGACGAAAAAATAAATCGAAATAAGTCTTTTTTTTAAATGTGTTATTGATAACGGATACAAACTTGTGGAGCGTGCAGTCACAACGCTAAGGTAGGATTTTTGAAAAATTTAAGTGAGAGCGTTTTTTACTAACATGGCAATTTAAGATTTTCTTTCTTTTTTGTAAGTGTTATTAGTCAACGTGGCATGAACTAAATAGTTCAATAACGAGAGAAATGTCTCAGTTGTTTTCCTGAAACTTCACCAAATAATTGAATATATATATATATATATATATATATATATATATATATATATATATATATGTCGTCACACATTACTTAAATATTTGTATCAATAAAAAATGTATAAACATAAAAATGTCTTAATATATATATATATATATATATATATATATATATATATATATATATATATATATATATATATATATATATATATATATATATATATATAATATGATATAATATAAAATATATATAGTTTGTCAATTAGCCGATTAGTGTTACCACCAGCATCCCAACTCCAGAATTTCGTTGATGGATTTGTCTGTACACTCTTCAGGGGATATCAGAAATTAACTGCTTATATTTCTCGATTTTTCTTTTTTAAGCACTTATCATTGGTGTAAGTTTTGTTTCGTATTGTTTGCGTTCGTATGCGTGGATGTGCGTGCGTCTAGGGTGTCGTGATTATTTGTCATTTTCTTCGTTTTTTTTTCCCCTAGTTTATACTCACTCCTTAGCATTTCCTCTTTCTTTTTTTTTTTTTTTTTTTTTTTTTTTTTTCCTCTTTTCTTTCAACTGTAGCTATTTGTAGCTATTTATTTCCGGTTTTTTCTCTAGACATTTTATCGGTTTTTTTTTGTTGTTTTTTTTTTTTTTTTTTTTTTTTTTTGTTCTAGTCTTTTCTTTGCTCAAACCTTAGTTTCAAACCTTGATAAATTTCAAAATCGTTTGCATTGTCTTTTGGGAGAAAACCAATTTTCCAAAACGCAATCTCTGCCGTTTCCTTCAATTTCCTTAATCTCCAGCTGTGATCCCTGTCAACATTCTGGATCTCATCTCATCTCAGAAGAGGAAATGCCTATTCTTCTTCATCTAGATATGATCTACCATATCGAATTTTACCATCTTTGGTGAGAGCTCCTTTGTTCTTTGAGCCGAAATTGGTTTTCCTACTGTTTCTTTTCATTTGGTTCTTCGCTGATTCAATGAGAATAACATGGAAAGAAAATAATGCGACTTCATAGAAATATTTGCTGTTTAATTCGTTTTTTAGGGATAAGTGTAATATAGGAATAATTCCACTGGAGAAATACAAAACGCTATGGAATTTAACGAATGCGTTGTTTTGCAAAAAATCTAATAATCTTTCAAATGAACGCAAATAAAAATAAACAAAATGTCAGCCAATCCTCTGCACGCATGCGCGCCAGTCATAATTATAAATGTATTTTCGTTTATTTTATTTTTAGTTATGAAAATTCTGTTAGGGATTCTGTATAGATTGGATTTTCAGAAAAAATATAAAAGTCCATGCAAAACTAGTGCAAACATCCATAAGTAAAAAATCAACGCGCGCGTGTGTGTGTATATATGTGTGTATGTGAGTAAGTGAGTAAGGGCTTGCTGAAAGTATATATATATATATATATATATATATATATATATATATATATATATATATATATATATATATATATACAAGTAAAATGCGAACAAATTGAGTATAATTTCACTGTATGTTAAATTTAATTTAAATAATATAATAATAAATATATAATAAATCTAAATACTATTTATTTTACGATATTAAAACATGTTATAAAAATCGCTATTATGACATACATGTTATGGAAATGCATGGAAAATGCATGGCTTCTCTTTGCATTTTCCAGAAATCTCTTGAAATGATTACGGAATGATCTGATTACAAGCGTTCTCTGTGATAGAAATGATAGTCGTCGTGTTTAGCATGAAGGATGCCTGCAGAAAATTCTGTCAAAAAAAAAAGATCCATTCAGAAATGAGGTGTAAGTGAGGCTTCGAAAAATTTGACATTCACGGGAAATATTGAAGGCAAAAGGGAAAGGCGGATCAACGGACTAACAACCTTTGAAGGTTATTTAAAGCCATAAAGTATATAGTGTTATAGAGAGGTTAACTTGTGAAATAGTTTACATTTTTTCGGGAAAAATGGAGCGGAAATTTAAAAGAAAATTGAAAATTAATATTTTTTTTAAGTGCAGAAATTTCATTTAAAGTTCAAAAATGGAAAAATTTATGCCTAATCTTTGGTGAAAATTTGGTTTGAGTAGAATAAATCTACCAAATGTCAGATTCGACAGTGTCTACCTATAAATTCATGATTTAAATGCAGATTTTATAGGTCATCTGTGGGGACTAAGTCATATTTCTCCTTTCTTTCTTTCTTTCTTTCTTTCTTTATTTATTTATTTATTTATTTATTTATTTATATAACACCAATTCTGCTTTTATACTACGCGCTCTATTCTATTTTATTTAATATCTGCTATACTTTCTTGATTCTGACACACTATCGATAAGGGTTAGAAAGAAGGTGCTGCGTCAAGTCTTTCAACTGGAGTTGCGCTATCACCATGCTTGGAGTGAAATGATAAAAAAATGTATTACTTGATTTATATTAATATAATGCATTATCTGATCTATTCGAAAAGTCTGAGAAGACATTCTTGGAAATAATTCCGCTAAAATGACATCCATTGTGTCTATTTGTTATTAACAACTTAAAAAAAAAATCAGTCTGAAACAAATTACTTTTGTTTACTATTAAGTTGCCAGAGAATTAATGCCGCATTTTTGGAAAGAGAATAAAAAAAATCTGAAAAGTTTAATTTGCAAAGAATATAATATTATTGCTGTCACTTGTTTTCATTTTCAGTCATATATATCTTGTGCTTTTTCATATGAAAACTATATTTTGCTTGTTTATACAATTTCTCACACATCATTAAGATATAAGTAGATAGATTCCTTTAAGTCAACTTAAGTACCCAAAGCTTTTAGGAAATCAAGAGCACTTAGTTTCGTTCGGATATTAAAAACGTTGAGAGCAATTTCCTCAAAATTCAATGGAACATTCCGGGTGAAAACAAAACGGAACGGAACAAGACCCGTTCCCCTACCCAACAACCGAATTAACTTTCTTAATCTAAAAATTTGTTTCGATCTGATTTTTAATTGGTTAATCCTGACATGCCCACAACTATAGTTTTTTTTTAATTCTGACCTTAGGTCCGCTCCCTTTTTGACTTTCAAAAAAGGCAATGATTTGTTTTCAAATGCATAACATTTATTGAAAACATTGATTGACATCTTTCCTAAGAGTATTTCCTGAAGAAAGAAATATAATAAATCCAACAAGAATTTCAATGATTTTATTATATCTTTTTATGTGGGAAATACTCTTAAGAAAGGTATCAATCCGCGTCTTCTCCTCCCAACTATGGGTTAATTAGGGCCTGACGATTGCGTCTAGCATGAAACATCCTGTCGCCTCTGAGTGTTGACTTCAATATTCACTTCTATATTTTATTTTATTCTTTGTGTGCATAGACAAAATATACGCCATGTTTATGGACAATTATTTTCATTTTACGAATACATCCATTTAAAGACGTGTAATAATGTTAAGAATCAGACTAAACGATAAAATGTGATACTAGGGTTAAGTTTAAGTCCCCCCCCCTTCCAAAAAAAAGCACAAATAAAATAAAAACGGCAAATATTAAGAGTAAGGGAAAAGGGTTAAATTTTGGAACATTAAGATTACCTCCTTGTTTATCCATTGAAACTGCTATCCACCGAAAAAAAAAAAAAGAAAAGAAGCCAGTCCCCACCGTGGATAGGTCACGCAGCGGATTGGTTGTTACAAACATCCAATCGGGTGAGCGGAAAACGTGGTCTTTCTTTGTCTAATTCATTAAAAGGCCAGAGTAGCTGTTAGCGTTTGATTGGGAGAGGGGGGTGATCAAGGATTGATTTCCATTGATTGGGTCGATTTGGTAATGGGGAGTATGATGTTGAAAGACCTGAAACTTCCTCATGAACCAAGTCAAATAACATCACTAACGACCCCTCGGGCGCTTACTTAAGAGCGTATTTTTAATTACATACGCTCTATCTTTGATATTGAGCACTTTATCCCATAAATATAGCACACCTTAAAACTATATTTCTTCATATATATATATATATATATATATATATATATATATATATATATATATATATATATATATATACACACATGTATATATATATATATATATATATATATATATATATATATATATATATAATAATCGACTCTCCCGTCGAGATTCGACGTATGAGGGTCAAGCAGATCAGTTTCCAGGAAACCGACAGCCCGACACCTGCACATGAGATTTGATTATAGTGGTAAAGGCCTCGTGCAGGACCATCCACACTTTTTGAAGGGACGAATACAGAGACCTGGTGCACTACGTGC